CGCAACCCGCAGGGTAGACTGGCCAGTGTGGGCCAGCGATTCCTGACTCCCCGGCAGGGTTCACCACTGTGAAGCGGGAGGGGGCAGGGGTGGAATTAGCAGCCTCCTTTTGCACCTCTGTGGGCGGGAGTGGGGCTGCTTCAGCCTTCCAGCCCCAGGAGCCCTGGTTGGCCCTACCCCGTGATCTGCCCCCGGCGGGTGGAGGGCCCACCTAGCTCTGTGCCAGAGGTTTCTTGGTCTAATGAGCAAATGGACACATTCACTGGATTGCTGGCTCTTTCTGGCCTGCAGGACAGCAGGGTGGGGGGGTTCCCCCGGCGGGGTGGCCCCTGCTGTTTCTCTGCACTCTGTTGGAGCCCAGCAGAGTTTCCAAGACACAGTGGACAGTGGGGTGCCCCTGGGGTGGGACTCTCCCTTTTTCTATCCTGGGTGGTCTGGATTTTCCCTTCTCAGGAGAACTAGCCGTTTGCAAACAGGGAGGATTTTACTGTAGGCTGGTCCCTGAGGCTGAGGTGGGGGACGGGGCCCTGTCTAGGGCAGCCTGGTTTTCACGTGTCCCCAGTGGGTCCCCCTCTCCTGCTGCCTACTCCAGCCTCTCCAGTCCTTCAGTCCTTGGACTCTGCCCTCTCCCCGCCACAGGCCTTCCCAGCTGGGCTCACCTGGGCTCACGTGCACAGTGGCATGCTGTTCCTCAGGGCCCCTTCCCTGAGCCCGGGTCCCAGAGTACAGTGTCACCCCAGCTGTCATCAGGGCTGTGTTTCCCTTCCTAAGGGCAGGAGCTTGTCCATACCCCACCCTCAAAGTCCAGCTCAGGGCAAGTGGCAGTGGGCGACTGTGGAAGGGTGGAAGAAGCCAGGGAGCAATGGGCAGGTAGAGGGCATGCCACCTGCCAGGTCTCCAGGTATACATGGTGGGGCTCTCTTTGGCAAGGGCATTTTGGAGGCTGAAACTCAACTTCAGCCCTACTGGTGCCCACAGCCCTGGCCCAGATGGTGGGCTTCTGGCCCAGGTGCAGCCCTGGGTGAAGTGGGGGAGGGGCCCAGCCCGGCCTCACCTGGCAGAGAGGATGATGACCCGTGCCTCCAGCTCCCGTGCCTCCATCAGCAGGGCCGTCACGTTCTTGGTCCCCGGGTCAAACTGCAGCACCTTCTCCGCCTGTGGTATGAGCAGGAGCATTAGACAGTGGCCGGGGCAGGGGACATAGCGCCTCAGGGGCGAGAGTTGGGCCGCAGCCACTAGGAACCCCGAGGCAGCTCAGCTAGGGCTGCCTCGGCCTGCACCTGCCACCTGCCCTGGTCACCTGCCTTCCTGGCTCCTCGCCTGGCCTGGACTTCCTCATCCTTCCTCCAGCCTGCTGGCCGTCCTAGCTGCGTCCTGCTCTCTCACCTCTCTCTGCACCTGTCACTGCTGTCCTCTTTGCACTGAGCATGCAAGCTGAAGTGGGCCGAGACGCAGAGAGCGTGCAGCGGACAGAGACTGAAAGAGTTTTGGAATGCAACTGGGAGCAGAGATGGGGCCGACTTAGCCAAAACCACGGGAGATCCTCTCAGGCCTGATGCCACAGGCCCCTGCAGAGTGGCCCGGACCCCAGCAGGCAGGCGGGCGGCTGGACGGGTGGGCTCCCTCCTGGGTTCCACAAGGAAACCCTGGGGGTCCCAGAGATTCGCATGCACCTCCCGGAGAGCAGCTTCTCCTGCGGCGTGCCCGCTCTCAGGCCAGGCCGAGGCTGCGGCTGCGACGGATGGGCCTATCCGTGGAGACCCATGCGGCCGCTCCTGCCCTCTCCTGCCTGCGGCTGCCTGCCTCCTGACCTCTCTCCTCACTGCTCGGGCCTGCGGCTCAGCTGGGCCCAAACACGGCCCTAGTGGCCGAGGCGCCAGAGGCCAAGGCTCCCTAGTCAGTGGGCGGCGTGCACGTCCATGCATATATACCTTGGGTCCGCGCTTGTTGTCATAGGACAGTTGGTCGAGGTTTTCATACTTCCTTTTTTTACTCTGATGAGTAATGTGCACAGAGAAAATATGCAGACACAGAAGAAGATTATAAACGGTTGAAAATGACGGCGCGAAAGCAATCACACCACCTCCTCGGCACGTCTGCAGATGGGCACGTACCTGGAGCTCGCAAACACCTAGGCCGGGGCGGGGCTGGGGCCGGTGCTGTGCTGGGGACTAGGGGGCCCAGGGGCCATTGAGGCTCCTGGCCAAGGAGCCGTGCTCTTGGAAACTGTCACACTTGGGAAAAGGGAAGCCCTGTCTGCGTCCATGCCAAATATACCCCTTTGGGGTCCCACCTGCCGCCCCCACCCCTGACATGCACCTGCTGTGTGGCCCCACCCCACATCAGTCCTGAATGGAGGGGTGCCCTGCCCCTATGTCCCCCTTCCTCCCCATGCCCTCCCTTTGGCCTTTCTAAGAGGTCCCTGTGTTCTGTTCTCGCTAACTGGTGTGCACGCACCTGAGGCCCACCGGAGAGGGAGAGGAGTTTGTGTACCTATGTGTGCATGGGGGTGACAGGCACCTGCATGGGGGCGTTAGTCTATGTAACCCACAGGGTAGCAGTGAGGCCAGTGCCATCTGAGCACTTGTTTGTGTGTGTGCGTGTGGGGGGGTGAGCATGCCTGTGGGCCACGTGCCCATGTGGGAGGGCGCGGAGGGCTTGTGGGAGGCACACGTGGTCTGAGTCTGTGGCGGGAGGTGTGCAGTGACTGTATGGGCCTGTGAGAGTGCACACTAGTGACTGGGTGTGCAGAGGTGAGTCTGATGAGCGTGGGAATGCCCACTGGGCCTGTGAGTGTGCCGCCCTGGGTGGGTACACCAGGAGGTGGCATGCCTGCTGGGTGCTGAGGGTGCTGTCTCAGGAGGGGTGAGGCCCCAAGGCACTAGAAGCCAGACCTCCCTCCTGACCTCAGCCAATCCCCACAGTAGGAACCCCCAGGACCCTCTGGGTCTTCTCTCTGGCTTCACCCCCCAACCAGTACCCTCTCCTCCTTCAGGGGTCTATGGCGCCTTGGGGCCCTGGGGTTGGCACTATGCTTGTTGAAGCATCTCTGACTGCCCAGAGAGAACATGCTCCCCGCCGCCCCCTGGTCTGGCCTCCCTCCCTCTCTGCCCAGCTTGGCCTCCACCCCACCCAGGGGCCCCTGGCCCGGGGGCTGAGCTCCAGGGCTCTGGCCTGGGTGAAGGCTCTCCCTGCACCTCTGGTGAGCACCAGCTCCTCCTCAAGCTGGCAGTGGGGTGGGCAAGGGAGGGGATGGGGGTCACCTGGACCCCCAGAAATCGCCACTCTGGTCTTTCGGGGACCCCACAGAGTGGGGTGGGGCTGGGACAGGGGGTCAGTGTGTGCTACAGGCAGGTGTCAGCTTGGTCTCCAGGAGCAGCCCTGCCCTGAGGGAGGTGACAGGGGGACGGGCGCCTGAAGCGGGCAGGGCCCAGGCTGGCGGCTGCGGGAGTCGCGTCTGCGGATGGGGTTTGGTGAGGCCGGGACTGCGGCGCGAGGACTCTGAATGGGTCTCAGCGGGAGGGTGCGCGTCCTTTGGGGGGCCGCCCCGAGAGGGGCGCCCTGGGGGAGCAGCTGGGGGTGGGACAGGGAGCCCCAGTTCTGAGCGCGGAGGGGGTGCGGGGGGAGGGGGGTGTTTGCGGAGCTCCAGGTGGTCCTGCCCTCGCCCCGCAGGGACTGACACGAAGGAGATTTCGACTAATGGCAAAAGCGAGTGAAATGAGCCGAGGACAGGCTGGGGCGGGCGCGCGCCAGACGTGGTGGTGCTGACCATGCAGGATGGAGAGAGAGGTGTCGCGCGGGCCGCCGCGCCGCCCACCTTGGACTCGCGCTCCTCCAGCAGCGTCTCCAGGCGCTTCTGCGCCGCGCGGCCCTCGTGGTCGTCGCTGACCAGCAGGATGACGTGGTTCCAGCCGTAGACGCGCATCATCTCGAACCAGACGCTCGACTGGTGGGAGTAGGGCGGCACCGTGCGCAGGAAGCTCAGGTGGATGCTCTGCGGGCGGGCGCGGGCCGGGTGAGCGCGGGCCCCCTCCCGCACC